TCCTTCCTTCCTTCCTTCTTCTCTTTCACTTTCTTTCTCTTTCTTCCTTCCTTTCTTTTTTTCTTTTTAGTGAGGGGGGAGGTAGAAAAGGATCAATGTGAGAAAGATACGTCTATCTGTTGCCTCCCATACATGCCCAGACTGCGCCTCAACTGGGGATCAAACCTGCAACCTAGGTATGTGCCCTGACCGGGAATTGAACCTGTGACCTCCTGGTGCCCAGGATGATGCTCCAACCAACTGAGCCACACCCACCAGGGCCTGAGCTTCATTTTCAGCCAAAGTGACCTCCTGCCTAATCGGTGAGCCTCAGAGTAGAGGATGCCTCCCCTGGACCCTGACCCTAACGGTAACCCTGACCCTAACTGTAACCCTGACCCTAACGTGTCCCCTGTGGCAGAGTGTAGAGCAGTCTTTGGTGAGACTGTTTGAGGGTAAATATCCAAGTTGGCCAACCAGCGGCCCCGTCTCACTCCCTGGGCCCTTCACACTGGTGTTAAGCACATGGTTGGCGCAATAGGTCTTCCTTGTTCAAAGATGATTCACAACCAGAAAGAACTCACGTGGATGCAGATGATCAAAAAGGGGAGGGGAGGGTAAGGAGACGGGAAACTGGAGGGAGAGGCAGTGGAGACACGCATCTGATGAAGAATTGCTCCCATAAATTACAGAACATTCCAGACAGACGCGTCTCTACAGCCTCAGAGAAATGGAGGAGTACATGGATCTTTGGAGAAAAAAACTCAAAGACAACACGCAGATGTAAAAAATAAATATAATGTCACTGAGAAGAGGACAATCAGGCAGGCAGAGCTCAGGGAGAAAACAAATAACTCACTTCAGACATAGAGGCTAGACGAGAGGTCACAGGAGTAGAAATGGACGGTGCAGGTGTGAGCCAGGGGCTTGGAGGGTGGGCCTGAGAAAACCACCCCAAACCAAGCGGAAAGGAACCCGGAGGGAGGCTCCAGATGGACACAACCAGGCACAAGAGGACGGAAAAGGGAAACGAAAAAAAGGGGGCGCAGAGGGAAAGTCACTTTGAACTAAAGGATGCCCCAGGCCTTCAGTTTAAACAATATGCCCTTGTCCGGCCGGGTGGCTCAGTGGTTGAGTGTTGGCCTATGAACCAGGAGGTCACAGTTTGATTCCCGGTCAGGGCACATGCATGGGTTGCAGGATCAATCCCTAGTAGGGGGCATACAGGAGGCAGCTGACCGATGCTTCTCTCTCATCATTGATGCTTCTATCTCTCTCCCTCTCCCTCCCTCTCTGAAATCAATAAAAATATATATTAAAAACAAAACAAAAGCCACGATGGCAAAGAGAAAGCAGGCAAATGCAAGCACCAGGAGAGCGGGATGGCCGTCACGAGCATCAGTGGGCAGGAGCTCCAGGGGGAGACGGGAAGCGAAGCAGGGGCTTTCTCCAGGCCACGCGTCCTGTTTGCGGCCACACCTCGCCCGTGGCTGCCGGCCCCCCACATCCGAGAAACAAGCCCCGAAGACCTTCTAGTCTGTGGTTAAGCCCCAGGTGGCTTCACTCAGACACCCCAGATCCAACGCACAGATTAGAGCTGGTTTTTGTAGCCCCAGATCCCTGTGAGGGGATGAGCTGTGTGCCCCAAATTCATATGGTGAAGCCCCAACGCCAGGACCTCGGAACGTGACCTGATTTGGGAACAGGGTCTTTGCGGTTCCTGTCTGATTAGTAGGGTCACGTTGAGGTTATATTGGAGTCGGGGGGCCCCAACCAATATGATTATAAAAAGGGGGACATTGGGTACAGAGACACACGGTGAAAACCGTGAGGAGCGGCGTTCCGCTGTCACAGGACCGCAAACCGGCAGGAACCAGGAGGGGGACCAGACACAGTCCCCCACGGCCTGCAGAGGGCGCGGCCCCCTGACACCTCGATCTTGGACTTCAGTCCACCAGGACTCGGAGAAGGAAGTTGTGTTGTCAGCTGCCCAGCTCGTGGTGCTGTCAGGGCAGCCCTAGGACACGGACAATATCCCCACAGGGGACACTTCCTTTGTGACTCCCTCCCCAACAGCACCCCTGCAGCCAAGGGAACATCGCACCGTTGTGTTGTCCGTGACATTTCCTGTCGGTTCCCTGCCCCTACCCTGTCCCCGGGGTGAGGACTTGAGTCTGTCCTCTGCACCTGGCCGACCACAATGCAAGGACCCTCAGTGGCAGAAGGCGGGGTGTCTGCAGGCCTCACACAGACACGTGGGATCCAGGAGGCCCAGCGTGGACTTCACAGAGGACTGAGCACAGTCCGAACTGAAGATCCACCCTGAATCCTTCGCACCCAGCACCCGGGAGCACAGCCCCCGGAGAGGAACCTGCGGGGCCGCAGGGGAGTCCACGGGACACAGAGCGGGGTGGCTGTGAGAACTGGGGGGCGGCGTGGCCTGGAGCCACTGTGTGGAGGCCGGTACCTCTAACCTGCCCCGTCCCCAGTGTGTCCCCTTGAAGTCAGCGTAACCCGGGCCGCCGGGGCCTGGGGGTGACAGAGGACCCCCCTCAGGGAGTGCGCCGTCTCCTCGAGTTGCGCGTTGGTGGGTTCCCCTCTGACCGTCTCCTCTTCATTTTCAGATCGTGGCCAAGCGGTACCGCGACTTTGAATTTCCCTCTGAAATGACGGGCATCTCGAGGTACCTGAGAAACGCCTACGCTCGGGACGAGTTCACCAACACGTGCCCGGCCGACCGGGAGATCGAGCTCGCTTACTCGGACGTGGCCAAGAGGATGAAGTGAAGCGGGGCCTGGCCCAGCCGGGGTGCGGCTCTGGACAGTGCCCTCTGCGTCTCCCGCCATAGCCACCCTTCGCCGGAGAGCGCCCCCGTTTTAGTAACGCCCCAGGCTGACCCACTTACCACCAAACGGCACGGGGCTGTCACGTCCCCTCCCGCGTGCGTCTGAGCAGCACCTGCGCCGCCTGCTGTCCCCTCCAACTGTCGTTCCTCTTCGTCGCCGCCTCTGATGGTCAGCGGCATCGGGATGCTTAGGGCACGTGTTTCACAGTTTAAGTTCCAAAGCAAATCAGGTTTGGGCTCAGTGCCTCCTTTAATGAGAACGGCGTCTGCCTTTGATATTCTCAAGTCGTTAGCCTGCTTTTCTCTCTAATAGTATTTTAGCTTTTTTCAGAATGAAACTGCTGTTTTTGTAATTACCCAATGACAGGTGCTGATTTTAACATTTTAACACAATGTCAGAGAGTAGAGAGATGGAAGAGAAAGGTCACCTGAAATTTCACTGCCCTGAGATCACCGCTGATAACCAACTGGGGGGCGTCTCCAGACCTTCTGTGTCTCTCCCCCGCCCCCCAGCCCCTCGTCCTGGCCCCTCCCCCCAATTTCATTCCTGCGTGATACTGCAGTACGTTATTTTGAAGGACTGGTGCGGGGGCCTCTTGTGATGCCTCGATGATCACTGTGGAGGACCCAGAACAAACCGACCGTCCATGCAGGGCTAGGGAGGTGCTTGCCATCGGGTTTCCAGGGTGGAGAGCGGGGAGTCCACAGACCCACAGGGACCGGCAGGGACCAGGAGCTGTGCTGGCCCCGCTCTGCAGAGGTGATGCCCTCACCTCAGGGCCCAGGGGAGCCCACCGACCAGGAGTGCCTGCATCCCAGCCCTGCTCCCCGCCTTCTCTCCCCTCCCCTCACACCTCCCCTCACACGGAGACCTGCCCCCAGGGGGACTCCCAGCCTCAGCCGCAGGGGGAGAACTCCCTGCCCTGGGTTTCAGATGAATGGAGCCCTAGATCCCGTCCCACGGCAGCTCTCTCTAAGCCCCGGCACTGCGCCTGTTCAGTGACGCGTGGGCCAGCCTGGTTCTCACCGCTGCTCTGCCCTTTGTCATGTCATCTCGAGGTCAGGACGGGAAAACCCAGAGAGATGAAGTTCACGGCGACGGCGGCGGTTCTGGTAACCGGTCGGGCTGGGAGGAAGTGGAAACCACTGACGCAGAGCTTTCTGGCAGCGGGGGCTCCCCGCCCGCGTCCCTGCAGCCCTCCGTGTGGGCCGGTGGGGCTCCGCTCAGGCCCCAGGAGGGGGGACAAGACCTCCCAGGGCTTAAGTGTTACCTGCCCGCCTTCCTCTGACATGGACACTCATCTCAGAAACCCTCCTGGCGAGCGGATGGGGGCCTGTGGTTCCCGCTCAGATGCTCATTAAAGAAAGAGGCTGCACCAGCGCGATGGGGGTCGTTTGGAGGAGAGTCAGATGGGGTCTCCCTGGTCTGGGACCCAGCGAGCAACGTCCAAGGGGAGTCGCAGCGTCTGCACGTGTCACCAGTACACGCTTCACCGCTGCTTAGGAGCCAGATGTGTAAGGCGACTTTTGCGATGTCACCTTCAAACTGGGTACATGCGTGGACTGCCCTCTGTCACTACTGCTAACCTGGCACTTTTAGCTGTTAACCGTGATCTCATCAATGCCACACGCCTTAAAATTAAACCAATTACAAAGCTGTTTGGGTGGAACTGATGTTCTTATTTATTTGCTTGTTTTCGCTTTGCATTCTCCACTGAGATGAGGAAAAGGGGGAGAGGACACCGGCGTCCTTTAAAGTGGCGAGCGCGGCGCCAGAGATGAGGGTGTTTGGTTCAGAGTCAGCCGAAGCCGAGTGTGAACCACAAGACATTTGCTCGGGGCCTCAGGTCTGAAAAGACGCCTGCGATGTCCCGTCCGGGTGGCTGCCGGAGAGGCCTGCTGACTCCTGGGGTCTAAGAACATCTTTTAAACCCAAGTGTGACTGGCAAACACTATGACGTTAGTCTCGAGTGTACCACGCAGAGATGGGACGTTCACATGCCTCACGATGGGTCACATGGACGTCTAGGGACACTTGTCGCTATGCACACTTATTACAACACCGGAGGGCCAGTGCATGGAATTCGTGCACTGGCGGGGGGGGGGGGGCCCCCCCAGCCTGCGCCCTCTCACAGTCCAGGAGCCCTCGGAGGATGCCACGGAGGCAGGAGAGGCTCTCGCCACTGCTGCTGCGCTCGCCAGCTGTGAGCCCGGCTTCTGGCGCACTGACCACCAGGGGGCAGCTCCTGCGTTGAGCGTCTGCCCCCTGGTGGTTAGTGCGCATCATAGCGACTGGTCGTTTCGCATATTAGCCTTTTATTATACAGGATGTGCTGCTGCCATGGACCTCGCTTTCACATGCAGCTTTAGCTCGTGGCGTTCCTGCAGGAGCCCCGCCCCCTGCCCCACCCCCTGCAAAGCTGCTCTCATGGGGTGAGGGGAGGGAGAAATGGTCCGGGCCTCTGAGCTGGCATCAGTCTTTGCTACATGTGGTTTCGGAAACAAATGCCCGGTTCTTCAAACCCGCCAGGCAGAAGGCAAGTAGGCACACACAGTGGGGACCCCCTCCTTCCAGCTGTGAGAGGTTCTCTGGGGGAAGGGTCCCCTTCTCGCTTTGGCCCAAGAGACCCGACAGTGAGAAAAGGGGGGCTTCAGTGTGGGCTGGTCGGAACCCGGAGTCCGCCAAGGTGGATTTCTGGACGCCGCCCAGCACCGGGGGATGAGAGAGCGGACTTAGCCCGGGGAAGGACTGTTGGAGACACTCACACATCCCAGTGATCAGTTAGTCTCTCTGAGCCTTGCTCTTCTCATCTGGGAAGTGGGCACAGCCGCACAGTCACGTGGAGCGCCGTGAGCTCAGAGGCTGCCGTGGAAGCTGCCCGCGCAGGGGCTGCAGTTTTCTCCTGGTTTTGCTCTTCCATGTGTCATGTCAGATGGGACCGGCCCGAGCCCACAGGCTGGCCGCCCCCAGAACTGTTCTCACAGCCGGAAGCTGCGCCCGCCTGCAGGTTGCCCACCCCGTCGGGGGGTCTAACTGTGGGAGTAGGAGGGCTGCGCCCCGCCCTGCAGGTTGCCCACCCCATGGGGGGTGTCTAACTGTGGGAGTAGGAGGGCTGCGCTGGGGTGCGGGCTCGCGTGCACCTGTGACCAGGTGAGGCCTGGCCCAATGGGAGGTCACCTGCCCAGACCTCGTGAGGTCCGGACCACGGGCCTCAGGCCTCAGGCCTTGTATCGCCAAGAGAGGAATTGGGCCCATGGAGTCTCAGGTGTCCTTTTTAGCCACAAAACGCTCTGATTTTAATAACAAACGCTCCTCACGCAGCTGAGCTGTGACATGCTCCCCACCCCGGAGAAGCCGGGACTCTCAGCCCCAGAGCGGAGGCTGACCGAGTCCCGCATGGGGTGTTTCCCAGATCGCCTCCTCCTGAGAGATGTTCAATCACACAATGTCGCTTTTTTAAAAAATTAAATCTAAAAAGTGTGTTTTTAAACGATTTTTATTCTTGCGTTTTTATGTTCTGGGAACAACATGATTTTTTTAGGGGGAGACAAATCTATTCAAAGCTGCTGGCTTTGTTCTCAGCCGCCAGCTCACTCGCTGCTCAGTGCGCCGGTTGAGCGTGGACCTCTGAACCAGGAGGTGAGGGTTCGATTCCCCTCAGGTACACGCCAGTGCTGCGGGCTCCAGCCCAGTGTGGGGCGAGCAGGAGGCAGCCCAGCCCACCGCCGATTCTCTCTCTCCCTCTCCCTTCCTCTCTCCGAAGTCAAAACAAACATATTTTTTTAAAAAGGTGATGTTGGCCGAGATAAACGCGTTTCCCTGATAAGATGTGAGTGTGCGGTTTCAGCCCGTGCGGATCCTCAGAGCCAGGCTTTCTGTCTTCATCCTGAGCACATGTCCCGGCTCTGGGCTCCCTGAGGAGGGCACCGCCAGGGCGGGGTGCGCGGGCCTCAGGACCGGACCCCAGACCCGCCCTCCGTGGGGGCAGTGGCGTCACTGGAGGCGGGGTGGCTGCAGGGGCGGTGTGACCCTCCCCCCCAGGACCAGGCAGCACCCCTGACTCTGAGACCTCGGGGTGCCCTGCCCGGCCGCCGGGGAGCGGAGGAGACCGTCCACAGCACCCGCATGTCACTGGGACTCGCGCGGGGAGGGTGCCGCTGGGCTTCTGTGCAGGCGGACGCCGCCTGGTTGGCAGAGGTTCCCAGGTGACGTGTGACGCGCCACCTTGCAGGGACCACCACCTCCGCACCTGCGCAGGCCCTGCAGCCCCTGCGGGTCGCCCCCGAAGCCCTGTGGGGTCTGCCCGGTGTTTGGAGCTGGGGCACAGAGGGGCCTCGGCCACCTGCGCAGGACACCTTCCCAGGCTGCTCCCGGGGCCTGGCTCTGTGAAATCAATAAAAATATATATTTTTTAAAAAGCTGTTTAAAATGATTTCAGAAGTGACTCAGTTTACTTGAGTGAAGCGCACGAATGTGGCCCATGTGGGTGCCGAGTCCATGTGGATGTTTCTGGAAGACCACACTCGCGTCTGGGTTTTGTGTTCCCATCAGCGTGTTCTCAGTCTGCAGCTTCTACCTACCTGGGCCCCCACCGTCCCTAACTGGGACTCTGAGTGCCTGTGCCAGGAGCTGCCTGGCCTCCGCCGGCCAGTCCAGTCCGCTGGCCGGTCCCGGGGCTCCTCTGTGGGAGGCTCCTCCTGCGGCTCTGGGACCTGCCGGGAGAGAGGATGGCAAGTGCCCGAGCGCATGGGCGCCTGGGAGAGAGCGGAGAGGAAGGAGGCTCCTTCCTGGTGGCCGGGCTGGGCCTCCGAAGGCAGCGCCGCCTCTGGGTCAGGGAGCGGAACCCACCTCTGGGTCAGGGAGCGGAACCCGCCTCCGGGTCAGGGAGCGGAACCGGGAGTGAAGCGACTCCTCTGGTTGGGAGGCTCTGAGCAAACCCTTCTCTCCCCAACGCCACAGAGAACCCCACCTGCCTCTCTAGGAAGATGGAGGGGAACCTTTCTGACCGTCTACAGCGCGTGCGGGAAGCTACCGCCCTCCACAGCTGTTTGCAACGGGGGCTGCCGGCTCTGCTCCAGGTGCCGCAAGAAGACCCCCTGGGCCTGGGGTCCTGCGAGGAGCCCCCCTCTGTCCAGGTTGCTCCCGACACCGGAACAGGCACCGCGCAGCGTAGCCGGACCCCCTCCCTCCGTCCAGAGGCCCTGTGAGGCCCCGGCCACCTCTCCGCCCTCCTGCCGGGAGCCGGCCCCATTTGTCATCTCCATCGCGAGCTGCTCTTTACCACGAACACCAGTCTTTACAGAAATCAGTCCCCACCCCGTGTGATTCCACGAGATAACCCTGGGAAAACTTCACGGTGCCACCCAAATGTTTATTATGGCGACAGTGATCTGGTGAGCCACGAACTTTCAAAATTACTTTAATTAAAAAAACAGCTTTTTTATTAAAGTATAGCTGGCATGCAATAATATATTTGAACACAGTAACTCCACAGGTGTATACCGTACGAGGTGATCGCCATACTGAGGCCAGTACCCCGTCACCACGCACAGGGATTGTGATATTATTGCCTCTGTGCGCTGCTCGGTAAGCCCCTCTCGTGGCTGATTTGTTTTATGACGGTGGGTTTGCACCTCTTACTCCCCTGTGCCTTTCCCCATCCCCCACCCACGCCCCAGACAACCGTCAGTTTGTTCTCTGTCTCCATGCGTCTGTTTCTGTTTTGTTTTGTTTGTTCATCTGCTTTGGTTTCTTTCCAGATGGCACACATACATGAAGTCATAGGTATTTGTCTTTCTCTGTCTGACTTGTTTCACTTAGCACACAACCCGCCGGGTCCATCCATGTCGGTGCAGTTGGTAAGAAAGTTTTTAAAGCACCGGACAGAGGTGGGTCTCTCTGTGTACCTGGGTCTCTCTGTGTACCTGGGTCACACTGTGTACCTGGGCCCCTCTGTGTACCTGGGTCTCTCTGTGTACCTGGGTCTCTCTGTGTACCTGGGCCTCTCTGTGTACCTGAGTCACACCGTGTACCTGGGTCACATCCTGTTCCCGGGTCTCTCTGTGTACCTGGGCCTCTCTGTGTACCTGAGCCTCTCTGTGTACCTGAGTCACATTGTGTACCTGGGCCACACCCTGTACCCGGGTCTCTCTGTGTCCCTGGGTCTCTGTGTACCTAGGTCGCACTGGGTACCTGGGCGTCTCTGTGTACCTGAGTCACACTATGTACCTGAGTCACACTGTGTACCTGGGCCTCTCTGTGTACCTGGGTCTCTCTGTGTACCTGAGTCACACTGTGTACCTGAGTCACACTATGTACCTGAGTCACACTGTGTACCTGGGTCTCTCTGTGTACCTGGGTCTCTCTGTGTACCTAGGTCGCACTGTGTACCTGGGTCTCTGTGTACCTGGGTCTCTCTCTGTGTAACTGGGTCGCACTGTGTACCTGGACAGCCACATCTCTGCACGAACATTCAGGTCATGTTCAGAGCGTGGTGCCACTGGATCCCCAAAGGCCTCTGGATTGGCCAAGACACATGCGTTAGGGCTCTAGCTTCAGAGTTTTATTGAGTGGTAATACTTGAGACGGTAATCCATTGTGACCTGTAGGATACATCTAGTCGCCAGAACTGTATTCATCAGAAAACGTTCTTTTGTTG